CTTTCTTCCCATTACTTAAAAGTATTGAGAAGGTAGTAATCATGGTAACATAGTGGGCCACTGACTTTTGACTGGTACACCTTAATTAAGAAAAAACCCATGCAAGGGAAGCCTCATCAATACTGCTCTGAGGGCCTGCGGCACCAATGCACCTGGGCCTTTGTGAGCATGCATGTTCCCAGGTCCCCTTCCTCTACCCTGGCCTTGCACAGGGAGCCAGGCCGCCCATAATGCAGGGTTCTGCCTTTGTTATCCTGCCAATTTCAAGGCTTACTGTAATTCACATAAATTCAATGCGATGTTAAAGATATCTGACATCTGCTTGTTTTAATACATGTATGTTAACTGAGTGAACTATATTTATCTTCCCAGAGCACCATCACTTCTTCCCAACAGCAAGGTACACACTTATGCCATCCATATAAACACTGCACCTGCCCCCCTGCATATGCCCGTATACACATGTGCAGATATAAACTTGTTTGTAGTTTAGCCTTTTTCTAGAATAGAACACTTTCTTCCGGAAGCATCACTCAAAGTCCCTAATGAAAGTGAGAAAAAAAGCAGAATTCTCTGGGTGAAATGGAGCTGGTGCACCCAGCACCCCCAGGGGCCCTGTCTTTTTATATCCCTGCTGTCCCTGAAGCCTGTCTGGGGATGAGGAGTACATTTTGAAAACCACTCCTCTATTATAAATATATCATAGCATGATCTATCTACTTATCTATCTATCCATCCATCCATCCATCATCCATCATCCATCCACCTATCCATCCATCCATCCAGCTCATGAATAAATTAAAGATTGTGTGCCAATCATCAAAGACTTTCTTTATAACTAAAATATGATTTTTCCTTACATGGTCTTTTGAGCTGTGGTTCAGACTACATGTGTATTTTTTTCTCCTGAAACTTGAGTGCAACTAAAAATTCCTTTTTATTCCTATTGAAAATAATTTTAATGCTTCACAAGGAATCAGAAAGACTTATGAATGAGTCCTGACACTGGATAATGAGATGTGCAGAAATGGTCACATAAATTGCTTCTTTTGAACATAAAACATTAATCCCAAGTTCCAGTTCTGGGAGTGTGGAGGACAGAGATGACTAGGTGTCCTCTAGATACAAAGACTGAAATGTTTAACACATAGAATCAGCAAAATAAAAACTTTGTAGCATGTAGGTGATATTGACAGATAGAAAAGGAAATCTCTAGTTGCCAGAAATGACAAGGGAGCTTAGAGCCATAGCAGGAAGCTTGATTGCTGAGGACATGGAGCCTTGAGAAAGACTTTAGACTGGATATTGTCCCAAGTCCTAGGAATATTCACATATAAAGGGCTTGGCTCATTAAAATAGTGGACATTCCAAGCTGAAGCCTGGCCACTGGAAGGCTGTTCCCTCTGTGAAATAAGAAGTTAAGAAACTCTACCCATTGGCCCATGGAAACATAGAAGGAACTTTGTCTTTGTTTTAAGTTCTGAATTTTTAAAACTCTCCTTTAAAAAAAAAATGAATGTATTTTTGGCCTACAGATTTGAAAACCAGATTTATCTTAAAGCTTTCTGCTGCAAATATCTTTAAATTGGCAAAGCAGAGTCAAGTAGATAACTACAGTTTAACCAGAACCCACCTATCTTGAAGTCTCATGAGCACCAAGAGACATATGACAGCCAGCACTGGGGATTACTAAGTGGTTGTCTCACACCTGCACTTATAAAGTGCCCCACTGTGGAATTTGCTCCACACCGGCTCTTCTAGGCGATGAGGCAGATCTGGGGTGATGTGGAAGAGGGCTGGGTGGGGAGACACTGCCCAGACAGGGAGAGAAGGATGGGATGCAATCTACCTCCCTGACTTGCCCAGCTACACCTAGATGTCCTATCCCTAGTGTACCTAAAGCATGAGGATGCCTCGTAGGGATCACAGGGGATGTGGACAGAGGCTGGTGTCTGCAAGACCTATGGGACAGTGTCCTTCCACCTCCTTCACCAACCCAAGCGAACAGCACTATTACCTGCCACAGTCCCAGGATGACAATGTGAGCAGGACAGAGGCAAGGGGATGCCTGGAGACTCAGCCCAGATCCAGTTTACATGGAACCAGGCACAGGGACAGGTACAGAAGGCAATCAGCTGCAGTCACAGCCCTGGGCACAGGAAGCTTGTCCCCATCCTGCACAGGTGGGGAAACAGCAGAGGTTTGCCCCCACTTCCTGGGGTGTCCAGTCCTAGGGAAGGCAGGAGTTACATACACATGTCTAGGAACCCAATAGAGGCACCCCTGGAGATAGGTTCAAGGGCATGTCACACCACACATGCCTATGGTTAGAGTGGGGAGGGGCAGAACCCACTGGAGCTGTGGCACCCACAGCAGGTGTCAGGAATGCAGTTCCCAGGCTGACTCCCCACCACTCTGCTCTTGGGGACCAGAAGGGACCAACAGGAAGGGGTCTCAACACTGACCTACCCAGGAAGTTCTACAGGACTGAAGGTCAGGCAGGGAACATAACCAGCCTCCTCTCCTGGGGGCCCTGGGGTGTAACTGTCCTGGGCTGAGCCAGAGCTTTCTCTCCTGACCCAACATGAGAAGCAAGACTGCCTTACGGACGGTCATCTTTGACTTTCACCTTGCTTTTATCTCTTGGTTTTCTTCAGTATCACATCTGTTTTCATTACTTCTTTCTTCATAGTGTTTATCTGCCCCCTTCCTCCTCTCCCCAAGCCTGCCTCTGGAGGGCAAGTCACTATTGCTCTGCTGACTCCTTGGGTTTCCACTGGCAGCTCCCTCTTTTCTTGTGATATTGCCCTGGGGTCAGTTAGATCTTTCAATGTCAGTGAGCTCTCTAGAGCTGTTTGCAGGCCCTCTGTGGCTTCCCGGAGCCTGGGAGAACCCCAGATTCCGGCTTCCTCCCTGGGCCTGGCTCCCATGGCTCCTGCAGGACTCTCATGTTCCTTCTCCACTGTCTACCCACTTTGAAACAGGGCCTTGCCGTGTGTCTCTATCTGGCTCAGACTTTGCTGTCTTATCAGGGTGTGGCCTTTCTTCAGGTGCTCAAGCATGCTCCCTCCCCACCGTTTCCCCTCGCAGCTTGTCTCAGTGGTGGGAATGCTGCTTGTGTGGCCAGGCTGCTACTCAGACTGGTGGGAGGGTGCCCTTCCACTCCTGCTGCTCAAGATCTATGCGTCCAGGAGGAGGGGGCAGTTTTTATTCACCCGGAGAGGGGTCCTTTCACCCGGAGAGTTTTTATTCAGCCAGAGAGTGTGGTACTATGCTTGGAACCAGCCCAGCAGAGGGGGGTGGCCCTCCAACTACATTCCTTGGAGTCTATTGCAGGGCTGTTTGCCTGGAGTTGTGCTTTTCAACCAGTTCTGGGGGAATTTACACAGAACAGTTTGGTGAAACTGACAGTTGCTTTAAAGATGCTGCTGAGGACATTGATCACTACATCATTCATTACTTTCCTGTATCAGAACCTGTGACAGCGTCTTTCTCTCAGGTCTTAGATGAGGATTAGTTAAACTTCTGCCACAGTGTGAGCTCTGTAGCTGGGCTTGTTGCCTGCTCCAGGGGCCAGTTAATGTGGAGGCCCTACACAGCACGTGTTCTCAACAGAGAGTATGGCTGCCTCTTACTGGCTTTGTTCTTTCTCAAGTCTTGTCCACTTTTCTCATGTGTCCTGACTTTTGCACTAATATATGTGTTTTTGTATCCACCTTGAGGGGACAAGATGGGGTATAAATTCACATATAAGCACATATCACTGAGGTTATATTAGATATTCACCATCACTTATATAAAGCATGACTCCAGTTACTTCCAGATGTGATGGTTTAAGGCAGTATCTCAAAGGGGAACATTATTCCCCTAAGTTGGAATCCTTTATACCTCGTAGTTGAAATGATGACATAAGATGTGAGGAAAACACATTTTTAAGGGAAAAAAAAAAGTCTGAAAATGGCTGATTATGCTAAGTAGCTGAAACAGTCAGGATTCCTGATCTGAAGTTTCTTATGTATATATTCACTCTTGTCTTAGATGCTGGAGTTTAGGGAGGACCTGGTGTGAGGTCACTTTTTAGTTCAGGACTTGTGTGAGGTCACTTCTTTGCGTCATTTAATTTCAGTCACAAAGCACAATGTAGTATCATTGTGACTATGAGCGCTTTTAAATTTTAAGCATAATTTACATTTCTTTTCATTTACCTGTTTTGTTCAAAGGGACTATATATAATTCAAAATAAATTCTTCTGTAAGTCAGATTAATTGTGGAGGGATATTTTACATTGTTAAAGTCCAGCTTAATTAATGAAGGCAGAAAAAATCAGCAGAAGTTTCTAAATTCTCCTCTTAGAAAAGAGAGAAAGATGATACAGAGCTCTAAGCATGCCACAAACAGGAGAAATGACATACTGACCCTCTCCAAACCAACATAATGTCAACAGGAACTGCTAGAGATACTAGTAAATCTGGAAGATGTATAGGCAAAAAACACCCGAGAAGCAGGCACAGAGCTTACTAGTGAGACAGAAGAGGAATCCATCCAAGGACACCATTTCTACCTGGCTACTCCACACCACCCCCTAAGGGGCAGAGAATAGGTATAGCAGGGACAGTCTGGCTAGGAGGGTAAACCCCTTGAGGAGTGTTTGGACTGCCAGGGAATAGTGACCAAGGGATGCTGTGGTCAGAATCCTTGGGAAACACATTCTGGGAAAATAAAGCCCTTGTGTCTGTCCTCAGGTATTTGTCAGGCATTTGGTTGGTGAAGAGTTTTGGTATCTGGATATTGAATCTGTCAAAGTGTAATATTTACCTGCTGATACTGTGTGTGTGTGTGTGTGTGTGTGAGTGAGAGAGAGAGAGAGAGAGAGAGAGAGAGAGAGAGAGAGAGAGGACAGAGGGAGAAAAATTAAAATTGAAGGGCTACAAACAACCCTGGGAATATATGATCTGTCTAGGTTTTCATGTGGGTTGTAATTGTCGATTTCTATTTCACAGTGTGTGGACAATATCCGATGTAATGGTTTGATGACTATAGTATTTGAAGAGAATTCCAAAGTCACGGTGCCGCATATGATTAAGTAAGTGTGAGAATCCTTTCCTTCACATTTTAATCAAGATTAAGTTGGCAGAGAATGTAAAGCCGCAAGTAAAATATTGCTTCAATAGGACTCTGCTTTTTGTTGAGAATGTTCTTGCCAGCAATGCAGTATTCGTGTTATGCAGTTATGAATGATAATATGATGAGAATGGCTTTCCAGATTCACAGCTTACTTTATTACTCATAGCATAGAAAGATGGTTTTCACACTGTTACACATGCCTTCACCAAGGATGAAATTCCATCAGGATGCCCAAGCTCAACATAAAATGTTAGAGCAGTGACTGCTGGATATGTCACAGTCAGGGAGGGACTGAGGCATGGCCACCCACAGGTGTAGCCACCCACATGCATCTTCCAGTGCATGTGAATCCTGTTACTGGAGTTGGCCATCCAGGAGTGTTTGGATTTTGAACACGCCTTCCATGAATTGCGTGGCTCTTCACAGTTTCCTCCACCCCTCAGGTGTGTGACTTTCCAGAGGCCGTGTGCCAAGGGCACCATCCCGCTCCATGTTGGGTTTTTTTTTGGTTTTTTTTTGAGTCAGAGTCTCACTCTGTCGTCCAGGCTGTAGTGCAGTGGCATGCTCATGGTCACCCCAGCATTGACCTGCTGGGCTCAGGCGATCCTTCCGCCTCAGTCTTCCAAATAGCTGTAACTGTAGGCATGGGCTACCACACCCAGCTAATTTTTTGATATATTGTAGAGACGAGGTCTCGCCAAGTTGTCTAGGCTGGTCTCAAACCCCTGGGCTCACGCAATCCTCACTTTGACCTCCCAAAGTGCTGGGATTAAAGGCTTGAGCCACTGCTACCGGCCTCCATGTGGGTTTTAATAGAGTGAACCCTGTAATGGAAAGTAATGGCTAGGAAGCAATGGTTCAGAATGAGAAGTTACATGAGTTACTGTGTGCCAGAGCTGTCTATATTAATGCTATTTCCTGCTATACCTTTTCACACTCAGATTCAGAAATTATTTTGGGAGTATTTTGAAGCTGACCATGTTCATGGTGCTCATTTTCTTCGTTATTTCATTCCAAATTCTAATGTATTTTTAAAGTAGTTCTTTTCATCTCTAAATAAGAAGTGGCTTGAAACTAAGAAAATGTGTGTCTTTTGTGCCTTTTATGTGACTATTTTGAAGCTGAACTGTTTATGTGGAGGCAGTAACTAACATTGATTTTAGAAGGATGGCTTTCCCATTCTGATAGGGATTAACTACGTTAGCATCATCCCAGTGGGATGTAAGTTTAGTAGGGTTTAGTTTAAACACTTACCAATTATTGAAACCAGGTGAAGGCAGATACATAATGCTAGTGCCATCATTGCTACAGGAAGATACAAAATACAGAAGAATGATGGTATTTTATAATGCTAGCCAAGTTTAAAAATATTTTGGGTAGGACCACTTTAAGTACTAGGGCACCAATTCCTTTCCTGTCTAATTTTCTAGGTTCTACATTTAGCATAATATTTTAAACCAGATTATTTAAAAATGTATGATGCTAAGATTAAGTACGAAATATTAAGTCGAAAAGTTGGAAGCTGATTTAATTTTTAAATTCACATCATTGGATTGGAGTTTTCTTATTAATTTTCTACCATAAAAGTCTTAGTTTAATATTTTATAAAAAGACATATGGGGTTTTCATTCTCTTTGAAAGTACTTAGAGTGAGACAGTGTGAAAGTCCAGCTGCTTTAGAACAAGAGTATGTAATCATACAGTGTAGACAGGTCCAGTCAGGCCCTGGGGCAGTGCACACATTCTGCACATGCATTCTGTTGACTTTAAAAATTAATAATAATGAGGCTGGGTGTGGTGGCTCACACCTATAATCCCAGCACTTTGGGAATACTTGAGCCCAGGAGTTTAAGACAAGTTTGGGCAACATACTGAGACCTTGTCTCTATAAAAAATAAAAAAAAAAATTAGCTAGTGTTGTGGTGCCTGCCTGTATTCCCAGCTACTCGAAAAATTGAAGCAGAAGGACCACCTGATCCCAGGCGATCGAGGTTGCATGGGCTATAATCATGCCACTAAACTCCACCCTGGGTGATAGAGTGAGACACCAACTAAAAAAAATAATAGTAGTGAAAAGTTTAGTTTTATGTCATTATTGGGGTGCCCAGGCATGTCTTCTGTCCCTAGGGCAGTTTGCCAGTGTCCGTGTCCCACCTCTTTGCATAAGCTCTGGCAACCAAGACCAGACATTCCTGCCTTTGAGTGTGTGGAGGTGACACTCAAATGAGCTGGGATTGTTCTGCTGGGACAGAGACCCGTATCCTGGGCTGGAAGGATTTTCTAGTAAAGCCAACATCCACAGTTCACGAGGTGTGCACGGAATCCATGGGTCGATTCCTTCTGCTCTCCCAGCCTCACTGAGCCTGCTTATACTCTATCAGGCGAGAGAGGAGGATTTTGCAATTTCTTTTCCTTCTGATGGCTGTGTTCTACCCTAGAGTTTGTGTCTTGCCTTCCTAGGCATTGGTCTTCCTGGCTACACACCATGAAAAAAAAAATCCCAACACTTTTCAGAACTAAAAGAAAAAAAAATTTTCCTCTCATAGCTGTGCTGGGAGTTACTCTGATGGGGCATTACTCTGTCAGCCCCCACTTCCGTGTCCAACTTCCCAATTGTGAAAGATGATTTGGGTTTGATCCTTTGAGACTGCTTTTTAAGTGTTTGCTAAAAAAGAGTTGCTGTTATCACAGGAGACTTAGATAAAGCATTATATATATTTTTTGAGAGTCCCATAGGAAATAAAGTAAATTCTGTTCAGTGACATAAAAATTTCATAATATTTAATTTTTTTTACCTGAAATGAAAATGTTGATGGAGTGCTGGTTGCAGGGTCAGGGAGTTCCCACGGGGTGACTGTGGGTTTTAGATGCTCTTTCAGGCCTGAAGGTAAAGTCCCCCCACACCAAGTGTCTGCTGGAAGTTTTTGAGAGCAGACAATAAGAAAGCTGCAGACTCTCCTTTATTCTAAAGAAAATAAATACAGGACCCCAAATCCTGGACTCATTGATAGGTTGGAGGCCCTCTCACCAGGCCAAGCGCTCTCAACTTCTGACAGGCCTGTGCCCCTTAATCCAGTGGAAAAACCCAGGCTTTGTGGGTCTACTCTGAGCTGCTGCAGTGACAGGAACAAGGGGCCTTGGAAGGGAAGGGATACTCCTGGGTCTGGGTGTCCTCAGGGGAGGCTACTGGGCAGTGGACTCAGGGAGGCCGAGGCAGTGATGGGGCCTTTTGGGAGTGAGGGCAGGTGCTGCAGGTGGCATGGCATGGAGAGTATATTTACCCATGGCTGCTTCTTTAAGGAAGACATTTTTAACATGAAGAATATTAGAAATGTAATGAGAACATACATGTCACACTCACAGCCGCAGATTAAGCAGTGTTTAGAAAATATGTGACCTTACAACACATGGATACACCAGGCAGGATGAAATAGGTGATTAGGTACTAGGGGAAGGGCATTAAGGAAGGCCAGAGAGGCTGGACTTGGGGACACACAGGGAGGGATAATGTGAGCAGACTGGCGTTGCACAGGCATGTGTATACATCACGACCATGTGCGCAGTCAGCCTCCGTGACCACTGACTCTGCTTCTGCAGATTCAGTCAACTGTGCCTTAGAAATATTCAGCCAAAAGAAGTCATATAACAATAAAAAATAATACAGTTTTAAAAATGCTATGTAATGACTTAATGACATTTAACATCTGGATGTTAAGTAGCTGGAGATGATTTAAAGTAGACAGGGAGGCTGTAGGTTCATGCAAATGTGGGGAGAGGGTGGGGGGAGTCCTGGAACTCACCCCAGGAATAAGACCCTACAGCACTCACTGACCCCCAGAGGCTGAGGCACCCCACCCCATGCATGTTCACAACATGGAACCTCAGGCGAGAGGCTGCCTCCTCCTATCACTGTGTCCCTGCCTTGCACGCAGGTCTGATGCCCGTCTCCACAAGGACGACACAGACATCTGCTTCAGCAAGACACTCAACTCCTGCAAGGTGCCACAGATCCGCTACGCCAGTGTGGAGCGGCTCCTGGAGAGGCTGACAGACCTGCGCTTCCTGAGCATCGACTTCCTCAACACCTTCTTGCACACCTATCGCATCTTTACTACGGCCGCTGTGGTGCTGGGGCGGCTGGCAGACATCTACCGGCGGCCCTTCACCTCCATCCCTGTCAGGTGGGTTCCACAGGTGGTGCCCCCAGAAAGCAGGTTCCAGGTTCCCTGCTTGCTTTTGGACAGGGAGCTGGCCTCAGTTTTGTCCCCAGGATGAACAGATCCTGGGCTCCCCGCTTGCCAGGGGATGGAGTGCAGGCCTTAGTCCCATTCCTGGACAAGCAGGTCTCAGGTCTCCACTTGCCTTGAATTAAGTGTCAGCCTCAGTTCTGTCCCCTAGATGAGCAGGTCCTGGGCTCCTTGCTTGCCTTCGGATGGGGCACACCACCTGCACAGGTGGTCAGCAGAGGCTATGGGAGTTCTTAGGGAGGAGGCGAGGGCCCTGTTGTCTCGTAGCTGTTGCCTGCTCGGGGGATATTTGGAAGCTGACTTTAGTGCTTTAGGCTTTCTATTTCTTGACAGTTGTGATTTTCAGACCTTAGTGTGCATAGGAGTCACCTGGGGGTGTCTTGTTAAACTGTGGCTCTACACAGGAGGTTTGGAGAGGAGCCTGAGTTCTGAGTGTCCCACAAGCTCCTGAGAACTGGTGCTGCTGGTCTCTGACCACATTTGTAGCAAGGACTAGATGGGGTCTCAGAAGTGTCCATGCTCCCTTGGGAGGGGTCTCCTTATAGCCTTAGCAGAAGAAAACCCAGTAACAGAGGTAGCATGCTGCTGTGGCCCTTACCTAGAGGATGTGCGTTCTTGAGTGACTTTGGGATATCATTTCCCATGGGCAGAATCTGTGAATGGCTCTTGCTCTTGTTTCCAGGTCACTGGAATTGTTTTTTGCAACCAGCCAGAACAGCAGAGGTGAACACCTGGTGGATGGCAAGTCCCCGCGCCTGTGCCGCAAGTTCTCCTCCCCACCACCACTGGCTGTGTCCCGGACGAGTTCCCCAGTGAGAGCCCGAAAGCTGTCCCTGACATCTCCCTTGAACCCAAGGATAGGCGCTCTGGACCTGACCGCCTCCCCATCATCCGGAAGTCCCACTGCCAGCCACAGCCCCACCGCATCACCTCCACCACATGCAGGTAAAGCCCCTGGTGTGAAGAGGGGAGTGTGTGCACCCTGTGGTGCCAGAGCTGAGTGTCCATGGTGGCACTCCCAGCATGTCCCTGACTTCCCCTTGCAGGCCAGCCAGCTGCCTTCCCATCCCTCTAGGTGCCCAGGTTCCCACTCTACACTTCCTGCTTCTGCACAGGAAGTGAGTGAGTGAGCTCAGGGCTGGCTGAAGGGAGGATTCTTGTCCTCGAGCCCTTGTGGACAAAAGCAAGGTCAATTGTCCACATACTTTCAAGTTCAGCATGTCCGGGTGCTGCTGGACTCCTGGAAGGTGACTGAAGCTGTGACCAGGGGGCTAGAGTGATGTCTGCATGGAAGAAAGTCGAATGCCCCATCCGTGCATTCAGGCCTCCATGTCCTTTAGCCTCCATCTGCTGGAACACCTGTATCTCCTGACCTCTCCCCACCCAGAATGACCTGGCTGAAAGTGCCAAAGCTCCATGTGACAATGGAGGCACAGGGAGGAATATCAAATCGGAGACAGTGCCAGTTGCTATGGTAGCCAGAGAGATTTTTAAAATGTGACTTAGATCACGGGCTTCTCACTTAAATTTCCTGTGACTTTCCATCAAACCTGCAAGAGAGCACATCTCCCCTATGAGACTCGAACCCGCCTCCTCTCAGTCCTGTTCCTCATCTATAAGGCCACAGTCATGGAATTTTCTTTGTGCATCTCAGAAACACCTCAGTGGCTCCTGCCCCAGGGCCTTGGCACGTGTTCCTCCCCTGCCTGCACACTCCCCATGTAATTGTGGGAGCTCAGCGCCTGACCTGTCTTGGTCACTCTGTCCTCCATTTATTGGCCAGGGCCTGACAGGTAGTAACTTTGTGTTAATGAAAGAATGAAGTAAAATATGGAGTAGCTAAACCAGGGTCATATCACCCATCGCTTGAGCCTCCACAACCTTATGCAGTGGGGGCTGGCGGGGGGAGGGGTCCTTGTGCTTTAAACTCCAGTGTTTCTGTAATAAGAGTGCTTTCACAGCCAAATTAGCAAAGAGTTTTCAAAAAACTAATAGCCAATTTGCTGGTTGGTAACAGAATAAGAATTGGGCAGTAAGTCAAATGGTATTCAAGCCTCAGGAAGATAGTGGGGGAGGGAGACCTGGTTTTCCGCCTGCCAGAAGATTCTGTGTTTCTGGCTTAGCTCAATTAAGTCAGCTTTGGGTGGAATGCTCACTGGGATCTTAGCTGGAGTGGCTGTCTTCATCAAATCAGCACCTTTAAGTAAGAAACCCTTTAAATCGACATGTTAACAGCTAAGGGAGGAACCAGGAGATCATTAGCAAGTTATAGTACAGCCAGCCTCGGTGACACTGTGGCAGGTCTTCTGGGCTTGTGAAGCTGCACAGGCTGACACACGGTGGGGTCCTAGCCATGCCAGCCTTGGGAGCTGCAGAGGGAATAGCCAAGGAGCTCATCTCCAACCTCCTCTTGAGCCTGGAAAGTGCCAGAGTTTTCCAGAATGCGAGGTCCTTCTGCCCTCCTTGTTTACTGGAGACATCTGGAGATCAGTGCGCACTCTTATTTTGAGTTAGGAAAGCTTTAGGAAGGAACATCTCAGAGCCCAACACCTGTGGCTGTGAGGTCGTGTTGTGATGCGGGATTGCGGTAAGGATGCAGGAGGGCATGTGCCACAGAGTCTGCTATGGTGGACGATGACACCTTAGTCCTTGCTACCCAGTCATGTGTACATAGAGACGCAGCATGACTGCATGGGCAGGTGATGCCTGGGATGTGGACAGAGCTCTGGGAGTGGAAGGCCCGGGGAGCACACCTGGTTCTACAGAATTGAGATGTGTCTGATATGAATCAAGGAAAATAGATGGTGGTTAGGAGGAGATGGGGCAACTATCTGGGCACGGAGGACATGTGAGCCCAGAGGCTGGGTGGCCACCATGGTACATGTCCCTGAGGCAGGAGGCCCTCTTGCTTCTAAGGGACAAGCTGTAGGCAGCCTTGCAGTGCAGGTCTTGCAAGCAGTCTCCCAAGGACTCTGGGCTTCAAGTAAACTCAAAACCCATTCTCCTAAAGAACCTTTCTCCTCCGTCCTAGCATTTTCACAATTTTCAAGTGTGTAGCTCAGCAGTGTTGAGGACATTCATGGTGTTGTACAACAGAGCTCTAGAAGTGTCTTATCTTACAAACCGGAAGCTACAAGCTTAACTGTCTCTGCCTCCCTATTCCCTCAGGACTCTCGGGCCTGCCTGCTCTCACACACAGTGCAGTTCAGTGCAGTTGCTGACCAAGGACTTTCTTGCTTTCCTCAGATGCCTGAAGGACATCTGAGATTCCGCTGCTCCCACAGAGCAGATGCTGCCATCGCCGGGCTTTCAGGGAGCTATTTAGAGAATAATAAAACTCACAGCTAAGCACTGATTTTTCTGTCTGCATCCTGCATCGTTGCCAGTTTTACAGTAATTATGTCATTCAGGGAAAGAGTCTCACCATCTCCCTTCCTTGGCCCCTTTGTGGCTCAGAAGAGCAAAACTGTGACTATTTCTAAGGGGTAGATCATATGGGGTGTAAAAATGGCTGTATATGAAGTCATCCGACACTTTGTGGAATTTGCTGGTGAAACCTTGAATGGACAGCAGATAAGGTCATTCTGCTGCTGAGATTCACAGGGAACAAGGGAACATGACACTGACTCTTGTCAGTGGGAGTTGAGAGGCCCAAGGAAAGAGAGATGGAGGAACCATGGGAAACTAATTAAATTTTTGTAATGTTTTTCCTTGAAGGCATGCATAAAGTTGTAGTTCTGCCTGCTTGATAAATCAATGGAGAGGCATAAAAGCATCATTTTCAAGGCCAGGGTGTGACCCTAGGGTGTCGTGTGTTTGATTCTGGAGAGATGAGCAGCAGTGAGGAGGCTCAGGCCATCTAAGGCCCTGTGGTTCATGAAAAAATGTTCATTCACTTCCTGCTGACTTGTAGCCCTAGCTCAGAGGAACCAAGAGGGTTTTTTGGGAGGATGAAAATGCTCTGTCTGTGTTGTTCAGTACTGCAGTCACCAGCTACATATGGTCCTGAGCCAGTGACATGTGGCCGGTGCAAGGGGGGGTTGAAAGGTTTTTGTTGTTGTTGTTGTTTGTTTGTTTGAGATGAGGAAAAACATTACAAAAATTTAATTAGTTTCCCACAGTTCCTCCATCTCTCTTTTCTTGGGCCTCTCATCAACTCCCACTGACACGAGTCAGTGTCACGTTCCCTTGTTCCCTGTGAATCATGATGGCAGAATGACCTCCTCTGCTGTCCATTCAAGGTTTCACCAGCAAACTCCACAAAGTACCTAGATTGCCCAGGCTGGGTTCAGGCAATCCTCCCCGCTCGGCCTCCCAAAGTGCTGGGATTACAGGCATTAGCCACCACATCCAGCCAGGAAACTGAAACATTAGTTTTAGTTAACATAAATTTTCCTAGCCACATGTGGGTAGTACTGCTGTTTTATACAGTGCTACTCAAGATTCTTAGGAGCCCTCGAGCTTCCTGGGGCCCTCACTGATAGAGATTCAGACTTTGGTTGACTTGAAAGGGTGACCCAGGCATAGAAGTCCCTGTTTTGATCTTAGTTTGATTTATAGCCTGAGAAATCCTTGTTCCCACACCAAGAAAGCAGACACACTCTAAGGGCGGGGCCCACTGCATCCTCCTGTCCTTTTTAGCATCAACTGTTATGTCAGACAGAGGGCCTGGCAAGGGTCGGCAGGGTTAACAGAATAGTGGGAGGAGATCCAGGTGTGGACTTAATGTGTTGTCCTGGACTTGGCTTCCCATGTGAACCAACATGAGACGCAGTCAACTTTCATGAGCTTTATTCCATGCATGACTGACACGTGGCTCTTGGATCTGTAGCCTGGTTGCTAACGTATGATATCTTCACACAGCTGTCCAGGAGCCTGCACCCACTGACCGTGCAGGAACAGAGAACTGCCCCACTGCTGATGCTGCAGAGCTGTCACCTGGCAGGTCCCCGTCAACCCCCCGGCACCACCGCTACCGCCAGCCTGGAGGTGAGAGCCTGGGAGGACTTAGAACATAAGGCGGAAAATGATGTCAGGCCTCCCAGTCTCTCCTTTGCCTGTTTCACTCCCAGACACTTTTTATTCTTAGCATGAAAATCAATTGGGTGCAAATACAGTTAGCCCCATGCATCTGTGGGCTCGACCAACCCCCACAGAAAATATTTGGAGGGTGGAGAGTGGGAGAGGGTGACTGACCACATACAGACTTATTGTTCTTGTCATTATTTCCTAAACAACACAGTGTAACCACTGTTTCCATGGCATCTATGTGGTCCCATAAATAATTTGGAGGTGACTTAAGGTACACAGAGGTTGTTGCAGGTTTATGTAAGTACCACACCATCTTACACCAGGGACTTGAACACCTGAGGACCTTGGATCCAAAGGAGGTCCTGGAACCAGCCCCTCATGGGCACCAAGGGATGACAAGCAGGGGGGCATTAATGACCAGAGCATATGACCTGGTCCAGGCAGTGCCTGTTTGGTCCCATCCTTGTGCTCACTTTGTGAGTGATGTGAATCCACAGGCTCGTCCTTAGATGACTAGAAGTGTGGCTCTAACAGAACATTCCCCAGTGCTGTGACCTTCCCATGATTACCGACGTGGTTTGTGTAGACAGACTCACCGGGAACACTGGGATTTAGGATGCCTTGTTAATAAACAATACTGTTTCATCTAAAATAAGGTCCATTGCATAGGGCCATGGCCACCATTATTGCTAGGGGGTAGAAACTGGCTATTTTCTTGAGAAAAATCGAGAAATTTTCTCAATATATAGTTAGGAAAATTGTAAAGTATCGCCACTAATTTGTTTTGGAATACAGCAAATGTCCTCTAGTTGGAGAAAATCAATCCCAGCAGAAGGTAAAATCTTTTGATTATCTCCTCGTTCTCCCCACTGCTCAGTTAAATCCGTCCAAGTGACAGTGGCTTTGAAATGTTTGCCTCTTTCTTCTCAAGGCAATTATTTCAAGCCAGAAAAGAATATTACACAGTTGTAAAGCTAGGTTCACCCTGCATGCCCTGAGTGAGCTATGAAGGCATTTTTGACCCTTGCGCTTATGCCTCCAGTGGGTTACAAGGGACAGAGTATGTGTTTCCAGGGAGCTGTCTGTGTCCGTCTGTGGCCTCCTGCTCAGTGGAAGCATTGTCAGCGACATCAGCTCCGAGAGCGGCAGAGGGGTCTGGGCAAGGCTGTTGTCCAATTTTCCCTGATAGACGCCAGCTCTTGGGGCTTCCAACCCTGGCCTGCTGTGGGTCACTCTGCCATGGGTGGTTCTGGTAAATACAGGTGATGGTGAGAACTTCCCAGCTTGTCACAGGGTAGCTACGGGCCCAGTCAGATCCCTCCATTGCTCACAGAACTTCAGTCAGTACAGTCTTGGCAACTCCCTTGACATTGTCACCTAAGACAGACCCCTCAAGTCCACAGTCACCAGGTTAGGCACCAAGGCCAGGAGATGAGACCTTCAAGGAGAGCATCAGTTCTGTTATCCTTGGTGCTATTATTAGAGCTCTGCTCCATGCCCTCTCATCTGTTCACATTCACACGTAACATTCTAATTCACACGAGGGTCATCTGGAAGTCCTTATCATCCTGTTTTTGGATTGACTGAGTTCATTGTTTCTTTCCCGCCATGACTGAATCATAGATACAGGGAGGCTCAGGAAGGAGGTTGAAACCTGTGAAAACACAGAGCCTCCTTTGGGGGCTGTCCTATGTCTTCTCCCTGACTGCTGAAGCAGTCTGGTGGCTGCCTCTGCCACTTATCCCAAGCCTGGAGTAGACTCTGCAGGAAGGGAAAGCAGAAGCCAGGGTATGCACTCAAAAGGGCCGTTGGCAGCGTTGGACCCTCATTTGTGTGTTTATTTATTCTAAGCATGACTGTGCGATGTTAGGGCCAAGTAAGGAACACCCCCAGCTCAGAGTCGCAGTGAACCGTGCTCACCAGAGCCCGAGCAGGGAAGCTAGTGAGGTTGGCCCTGTGTGGCCAGGCACCATGTAGAGGCATGGTTGGAGGTGAGGCTCCCCTCATGAGCCCATCCTGCCTGGAGGTGCTGTGAGAAGGAGATCCTGTCACCAACAGGATGGTGTGTCTTTTTCATAAACTATTTTTTGTATTGAGATATAGTTCGTATGTCATACAATCGACCCTTTTAAAGCACAAAATTCAGTCATTCTTATATATTTACAAGGTTAGGCACCACAACCTCTATTTAATTTTTATCACCTTAAGAGAAACCTTGGCCCCTGCAGCGGTCACTCCCTGTGCCTGTCCCCTTTGCCTTAGCCACCATGCGTCACTCCCCACACCTGTCCCCTTAGCCCTAGCCATCAATAGTCACTCCTTATACCTCTTCCCCCAGCCCTGGCCACCACGAGTCACTCCCCATACCTGGCTCTCCAACCCTGGCCACCATAAGCCTGCTTTCTCCATTGATCTGCCCATCCTGGACATTTCATAAAAAGAAAACCATACAATTTGTGACCTGTCATGTCTGGTGTCTCCCCAAGCACGATATTTCCCCAGTTCACTTATGTTGTTGCCTGTGTCATGACTTCATCCTTTTTGTGGCTGAATAAGCTTCCTGTGTTTTTGCTAATCATGTTGTCAGCTGATAGGCACATGTTTGTTTCTGCCTTGTGGCTGCTGTGCACCAGCCGTTGTGAGCATCCACATCCACACTTTGCTTACCCAGCAAGTGGACCCACAGATACACAACTCATTTGCCTGGTCACAAGGATCAGACAAGGCATTTAACCCACGCTGCCCTCCAGGGCAGGGGTAAAAACAAGTTTTTTCACTACAAATGCTATCCATTCCTCACCACTGCATGTCCTTTCTTTTTAAACAACCAGGACAGACGGCTGACAATGCCCATTGCTCTGTGTCACCTGCCTCTGCGTTTGCAATTGCCACGGCCGCAGCAGGACATGGGAGTCCACCAGGTGAGTGGGGTGCTAAGTCAGATACATGGCAGTGGACACTGAGCCAGTGGCCATGACTACTGGCGTCATGATGATAGCTGGAAAGCTTAGTAAGAATGTAGATTCCAGGCTCCTATTCCAAATCAGTTGTAAAGACTGTCTCTTAAACAAGCATCTTCAGAAATCCTGTCACTTGTGAACACACAGAGGACATTTTGTTGAGTAGAATAAACCAGGCACAGAAAGACACATACGACGTGATCTCTCTTATTGTGGATTCTGAAAAGTTGAGAGTAGGGGGCTGGGGCGGGGAGGGGTGGCAGGGAGATGTTGGCCGAGGGCGCAAGGTCTCAGCTAGATGGGAAGGGTGAGCTCTGGAGACCTTGCACAGCTGGTGACCATGGCTAGAAATAGTGCCCTGCCTGCCTGAAATTGAGATGTCAGATGTTCTCACATGAGAAATGGTCCGTGTGTGAATGGTGGATGTTCATGGGTTTGATGCCATCATTCCTCGCCATGTGCATGCATCCAAGTAGCTCATGGTACCCATGGGTACATACAATAAAAACCAAACAAGTGCTTCAGGTGTGACTCCCTGGGGTGTGCAGTTCCCACTCCTGAGTATTCTGTACAGAGGAGGGTGACCATCCTTTCCACTTGTGTGGCATCCTGCAGTCTCCCACCGTGGGGCTGGGGCTCCTGGTTACATCCACAGGGTGACAGAAGCCTCAGTGGAGGAGGCTTCTGTAGACCGACTTGGGCATTTCCGGCGTTTCCAACCCCTGTTGGGGCTGCTATCGGGCGATTCTCAGGGCAAAGAAGTACTCAGGGCAAAAGCACAGGATTTTAACAGATGAAAGTCTGTTCGTCATCTCACTCCTCTCCTCTCACTTGCAAGGAGGACGTTGTGTTACGGTACATTCGCAAGTGACTTAAATGGCCTCGGTGCCATGTCTTCACCTACTTTAGCCTGTGGGCTTCTGTCCTTATGTCTGTAGACCCTGAGAGGTGGTGTGCTTTGCTGTTAACCATTTCCACCAGCCAAGGAGCCTTTTCTGAAGCCTCTGAACCTATGTCCACAGGGTAATGAGCAGGTGTTATCTGGGTGATTTCTTTCTAACTTAAAGAAATATGCTCCATCGTGAAGGTGAATGCCATGGCAATGCCCATTTTGTATATTATGATACATATTATTTTATGTGTTCCATCTAGACAAAAACTTTGCAGATGGACCACATTCCACTTCTTCAACATCTTGGATGATGCCCCATTGGATCGGCATGTCCTTTGCCCCAAATACTTTTAAACCTTCCCCCAAACGTCCCATTGGCATGAGAGAAAAGAGCCTATCACAGTCATGATATTGACATCTTGTCGATGCAGTTGACCTCTGTTATGGACCTCACTGAACAATAGCGAACATTTGGGGATTAATGGGGCCTTTGGCACACCCTAGGCAGAGCTGGTGTCCACTGTGATCTTCTGTCCTCCCTTCTCATAAGTGGGTCTCTCTTTCACAAAAGCGGAATCCAAGAGTACCCTTGGTTTATAGTTACATATGATTTTGGGGAAATCATTTGGGGGCCATTCCAGCTGAGCCATCTCCCACTTGCTGGAGACTGGGAAGGCCCTTTCCTCACCTGAGAGTGTGGTGCAGGGTGACCTGTCCCGTGTGCTGGAAGGAGCCACGATCTGACCAGCTTGGCCTTGTGTGTTGAGCCACAAGGAAAATGGAACCCCGCAGCTGAGTCTTTCCTGCTCCCTGGAATCTGCATCCTATGACCTGTCTTCCTCACCTCCCCATAGTAACACCACCATGGAAGGCTCTAGAAGTCACTGTTCAGAGCTGCCATCAGTGTGCTTTAGACGTTTGGTAGGCTTGGGTGGGCATAGCTGAGGCTGTCAGGAACAGAGTGACCTGACCCTGGGCTGCAGGTGGATTTATTCCAGTGCTGCTGGTGCCTGTTGGGTGACTGGAGTGCAGGGCTGGATTTCAGGAATAAAGACAAGAAGGGCTTGGGTTCGGTGGCCTGTGGTTATATGTAAGGCTGCAGGCAGCACACGATCAGTCTCAGGGGCCAGTGACAGTGAAAAGGGGTCATTCAGAGAGAAGACCAGGGTGCTCTGGAGCTCAGCCCCTTTGTGGAGCCAGCCCCAAGGGATCATGCCTGCCAGAGAACTGGGTGAGGACAGTGTCCTCAGGGGACTCAAGGAGAGCTGGGAGAGGGCTGGTGTCCTCGGGGGACTTGGGAAGAATGAGAGAGGACAGGTGTCCTCAGGGGACTCAGGGAGCACTGGGAGAGGGCAGGTGTCCTTGGGGGATTCAGGGAGAACTGGGAGAGGACAGGTATCCTCGGGAGATACAGGACTGGTGTCCACAGGGGACTTGGAGGGAATGGGAGAGGATGGTGTCAGTCAGGGGACTCAGGGAGAATGGGAGGGGGTGGTGTCCTCTGAGGACTCAGGGAGAATGGGAGAGGACAGCTGTCCTCAGGAGACATGGGACATGCTGGGAGGTGAGGGGCAAGGGTACTCACTTGTAAGCAGGGGCACATTGTGATGTCTGGGGGCAGATGTCAGGGAAGGGGTTACAGCTCAGAGTCTTCTCCTTCAACGCCCTTTGCATCCCATCTGTGAGTCGTGAATTCCCACCTTGATGTAGATTTGCCAGAGCCAGTGTGGCCCAAGCACTGAGGAGGCTGGTGATGTCGACCTTGGCACCTGTTCTCTCCTCCCTGGGGCCTCCCTGCTGCTGTCCCTGTGACAGACCTACTTGGAGGCACTGCTTGGTTTGTCCCAGCCAGAGGTGGAGACAGGGCCCACTGGCTCTGAGGCTGCAGAGCAAGATCCATGTGACAGACCTCGTAAGGAAGTTCTCAAGATCCCCATACCCATCAAAATGCACGACTCCAGGCTGAAACGGTGCCTGAGACCCTGTCTTCATGCACTTCAGGCATCTGCATGTGGACCCTTTGTCACTAATCACAACTTAGTGATTTTCTTATGAAAGGAAAAGGAATTTCAATTTAACAAGGCATGGGCAGGGAAGCTTCTTTGCAGAGACCAAGATGAGATGCTCCTGCCAGGCCCTGGGATTTTGCCTGTAAGAGGTGGCCCCGTATGTAGGGTGGCCCAGGTGTGAGGGAGTGGCTCAGGCATGTGTGGGATGTCCTGGGCCTGTGGAGAGACCTGGGTGTGTGTCAGGAGGCTCAGGGCATGTTTGGAGTGTCCTGGGCATGTGTGGATGTCCTGGGTGTGTGCGGGGTGTCCCAGGTATATGTGTGTATGTGGTCACCAGGCATGTGTGGGTGTTCTGGGCATGTGTGTGGTGTTCTGGGTGTGTGTGTTTCCCGAGCATGTGGGGGGTGTCCTGGGCATGTGTAGGATGACCCGGGTATGTGTGGGGCGACCCGGGAATTTGTGGGGTGTCTCAGGCATGTGTGGGAAGTCCTGGGCATGTGTAGGTATCTGGGCATGTGTGGACTGTCCTGGGTATGTGTGGGGTATGCTGCATTTGTGTGGGGTTTCCTGGGCATGTGTGAGGTGTCCCAGGCATATGTTGGTATCCTGGGTGTGTGTGGGATGCCTTGGGCATATGTGGGTGTCACGGCATGTGTATATATGTCCCGGGCATATGTGGGGTGTCCCAGGCATGCATGGGGTGTCCTGGGCACGTGTGAGGTATCCTGGGCATATGTGGGCTGTCTTGGGCATGTGTGATTTGTCTCAGGCATGTGTGGGTGACACAATGTGTGTGCCTATCCTGGGCATGTGGCGTGTCCCTGACGTGTGTGTGTGTCCCAGGCATGTGTAGGTGTCTGGGCATGTGTGTGTGTCCCAGGCGTATATGGGCATCCCAGGTGTGTGTGGGTATCAGACCGTGTGGAGAGGCCTATGCTGCCACTGGGCCTATGCCTGCTTCTTTCCTCATATGCTGGAAAGCCAGGGTTCTCCCTCTTGTTTGGGGGCCTGGTGCCTCCCTTTCCAGATGGCAGGTCTCTTCTTCCCTATCCCATGTCCTCTGCCTTCCCGAATCAGTTCACCCAGAGGACCCACCTCCCACTCCTCACTGCAGGATTTCACTTCTGTGACTGTGAGGGGCCTGTCAGGTGGCTGCAGGAACTTGTCTGGAGCCACAGATGCTCTCCTGCCTGTGGCATTTGTCCTGCTTCCAGGGCTGCCCCTCCCTGCGCTGGTAGCTATCTCTGGAAGGCCCATTCCTCAGGAGGCAGTGCTGGCAGAAGGGCACCATCCCATGCTTCCAGTTTAGCCTCCACCCCTTCAGGCACTCTCTATTCGCCCTGGTTCTCAGCATTTTCCACTGTTTGATGTTCTATGTTTTACGAATTTATCTTGCCTGTCATCCATTTCTCCAAGGAGATCTAAGATCCTTGAGGGCAGGATTCTTGTCTGTCTTATATATGGCATCATTCCCAATATCTAGAATAGTATTGTACACACAGCAAATGATCAGTAAGTGCTGCTGAATGAATGACTGGATGACTGAATTCTCATACTTGTAATATGGAAGACTGTGCAGAGAAAAAAAACACTTTGCACGTCCATATGCTTACGGTGCTGTGGTGATTTTAAACCATGGAGTGCCATCATTTTTCCAGGGCAAGAGGGCTTTGTGTAACCTCCCTGACTGACCCAGGAGGTGTTGTTGGTCCCCTCACATTGGCAGGCAGCCTCTGAGTGTCTCTTTCGCTTAGTGCCACAGCCTAAGCCTCACACATGTGGCTCCCAGGTGAACCTGCTGACTTGGTTTTCAGCTGATATGAGACCTGCTTTACACTTGTGAGTGGAGGGTCCTTGGACATGCCTGGACCAGAGTCTGGGGTCACCGTAAACATTTGCTGCCAGTCAGAACACAAGCTCTCACTGAGCTGCCAAAGTCTCATACTATGCCATTAGTGAGAATGGATTTTGTGTTGCCATCAACCCCAGGACAGGGCTTGCTTCCTCTCCACAGAAGTGCCATCTTCGAGCTATAGGCCATACCAGGACCCGGAATTTCT